TAAACCTTCATCTAAAGTACAGTTTAAAAAAATGCAAAAAAAAAAAAATTATAATCTGAAACCCACAGTCAAATCTGTTGTTTTGTTGTCTTGTCCTGTTGATTCCAACTCATGGGGACCATATGTGTTACAGAGTAGAACTGCTCCATAGGATTTTCTTGGCTACAATCTTAATGGAAGAGTCCGTGAATGGTGCGTATGGTTAAGCACTCGACTACTAGCTGAAACGTTGGCAGTTTGAACCCACCCAGAGGTGCCTTGGAAGTAAGGCCTGGCGATCTGCTTCCAAAAGGTCACAGTTTTAAAAACCCTATACAGCGCAGCTGTACTCTGCATATATGTGGTCGCCATGAGTCAGAATGGACTCAGTGGCAGCTAACAACAACAATCTGGATGGAAGCAGATTGCCAGGTCTTTTTCTCCAGTGTGTCACTGGTTGGGTTTGAACCACCAACTTTCTGGTTACCAGTCTAATGCAAACCATTTGCGCAACCCAGGGACCTCAGAGTCAGGTGTAAGGAGTCTAAATGTTTGATATGGAAAGCTGGGGACAGGCATGATGACAGCAAACAATATATATACATTGACAACCTCCCCAGGTTTGGGTACCTGCAGGGAGATGGGACCAGCAAGGATACGTGTCTCCTCTACCACTGAGGTCCTCCCCATAAGTGACACAGTTGGAGCAGAGCAGGATGAATCATCACATATTTGGAAATTTTATGGCTTGGCAACATTTCTACACGTGAGAGCTGTTTGAAAAACAGCTCAACCGGGTGGCAGAACCCCAGAAGGAGAGACAAGGAGCCAGGAAGTGACATGGCAAAGAGAGGCTTGTAGGATTTCTGGAAGGGCAGAACAGCCATGATGGTGGCTATGAGTAAGCCAGATAAAACCAGAGGTTATTCTGAGTGAGCCTCCAGAGAGGCAAGTCCAGAGAGTCGAAAACAGAACAATATCACAGTGATTTCTATGAATGGGTGTGGTGAAGATAATTACTTTTGTGTGTGGCCTTTCTAGCCATGGTCTTGTGACTCTCACCCAGGTGATTGGGTGGGGCTGTGCAGATAAGATAATCGTGGCCCACTGAGGGGATTGGTCAGTTTTGCCTTAAAAGAGAGCCAATTCCAGAGCAGAGAGGAGAGCCCACCACAACCAAAGAAGGATTGACATGCAGCAGAAACCCGCAGGAGACGGCGCAGCAGCCTTCCCAGCCCACGGAGTGAGAAAGCTGAGTGCTTTTGGGCACAGACTGAGGGCCAGGGAGAAGTCTACACCTGACCCACAAATCTGGGACTTTCCAGGCTCTACAACCACATGAGCCATTTCCCTTACATGGTTCGTGAGTTCTGTGAGATGTTGCAGCGAATTAGGGAAACCAAAGACAGGAGAAAGAGTACTGAAGGGAGAGGGAGTAGTTGATGTTAGAGATGATGGAGTGGTACAGCTGATTGGAAAAGTTAGACATTTAGGACATTTTTAACCTCCGCCTCATAGCTTTGTGCTGATACTTATAAAAGAAATTAGTCGTTTAATGGGAAATTAGCCAGTCAGCAGGAATTCAAGGGACCTCAGAGGAAATGCTTTCAATCTGAAACTGGAGTGGGTCCTAACAGAAAAGGCCTGGCTTCCTCAATGAGCAGAAGCGCTAAAAGAGAGGGCCTGTTTGCTTCCAGAGTCCCTGGGTGGCCTGCACCATTAAAGGTGCTTGGCTGCTAATGGAAAGGTTGAAGGTTCAAGTCCACCCAGGGGTATGAGTCCCAGTCGATTCGATGGCAACTGGTTTTGTTTGTTTCTAGGGTGGGAGGAAAAGCCACAGGATGGAAAGTATAATCATAAAAGTAAGCTTTGTTCTGTTACCCGAAGTAACGTACTGTTGATGAACGTTTACACACAGACAGGCAGAGTGAACAGTTACGTTTGTTACCAATAGCTACGACAGAGACCCACAAAACCCCAAATGTTTACTATCTGGCCCTTTCCTGAAAGTTTGCAGCCCCTCCTTGGGTCTAGACCCTGCCTCTGAAGCTGCCCTGACCTGACGCAGGCAGGGAGAACAGGCAGCTGCGTATCAGGCCTCTGGTAGCAAGCAGAGACCCATGAGGAAATTCCTGCCAGCGAGCCAGAACCATTCTATATTCACAAGTGACAGAGCAAAAGGAATGGCAACTCCAGGTGCCTTTAAAGGAGCAGGGAGCACTAGAAGGAACATGTTGAAGATGCTGACACGCTCTAAGCTGAACAGAGAGCCATTCCCGTGTCCTGGTCACAGAACAGGTACCAGCCTTGTGGAGATGGGATCCGATGTTCCTGCCCAAATGGGTCTATTCAGCTGAGATGTCAGATATCCATGGAAAGCTGTCCTCACCGAGCACATGCCAAGCTTCTGGTGGCGACAACTATGACTGACTGATTTGTTAAAATATATTTACTTATTTGGGCAGGAGGAGTTCCTGGGTGGCACAGTTAAGTGCTTGGCTACTAACCAAAAGGTTGGCAGGTTCAAGTCCACCCGGAGGCACAGTGGAAGAAAGGCCTGACAATCTACTTCTGAAAGATTACAGCCATTGAAAACCCTACTGAGCCCAGTTTTACTCTGACACACACACAGTTGCCATGAGTCAGGGTTAACTTGACAAAAACCAGTTTATTTTGGGTTTTTTTGGTATTTGGGCATGATTTAGGAATTATCCCAGTATATTACTTTTGTTATCCCATTTGTGGGCACGTGCATGTGTGCACACACACACATATGCATTCACAGACTGGTATAATTTCTTAGTAATGCCTCCAAATTACTAAATATATGAGTGTTTAGTTATATAACTCATACCGACAATTCAACAATACAATAAATTCAGATCCAGAGATTGTTTGGTTGATACATATACTCTTTTAGTGCCTGGATGTGGTAACAAGCAAATTCTCCCACGTACAACTCCATTTTTAAAATACATACTCTAAGACTTTCTATTTTCTCCACAGAACATATCAGATACAGTCTCCCAGCCCTATCATACTGAGGATGATTGGTACTTGTCCAGGCCCATCAACCATGCGTCCCAGAAGGAGACACAGAAGGAAGATGGCCTCCTGGCTGTAAAATGGGCCCGTCATCCTTTGCACATGTCACCACCACCCACATGAGGATTTGAAAGCGTACCCTTTCTGAATGGCTCCCGGTTCTCCTCTGCTTCTCTGTTGATTTGACTTGGTTCCGGTTCAGCAGTGGACCCCTGGTCTTCAAGCTCATCTTCTGTTTCATCATCACTGTATGGAACCACTTCATCATTCGGCTGCGAATCCTCCTCAAATGTAGTCTCTGAGTCTCTTTCTGTACTCATTCTGCTGGCAAATTGGAACTACCTGGTTTAAAAGAAAGAAGAACCAGAGTGAATCATTGCCCTCCTTTAGCTCTAGGTTAAATCCTGCATCCTATTATAACTCTCATTTAACAGAACATCATCTTCCTAACATAACATGTAAATATTTCTGAATAATGACCCAGAAGTTCAAATTAACATACAAACAAGAACATCTAGTTCAATTGGCATAACACAGTTTATAAAGACAATGTTCTACATTCTATCTTGGTGAGTAGTGTCTGGGGTCTTAAAAGCCTGTGAGC